ATTAGAGGTAAAAAATGATATAAATACTGTTCGGTTTCTGGCACAAACCGATCGTTTCGTGTCTTTACACATCAATGTATCGTCACGAGCCGCAGGGTTTAATTTGGATTTGTCTGTGCATTTTTTTTTTACTCTCATAGATTTTGTTACATTGCCATGCATTATACGACTGATAGACTGCAACGGTTAGACTTAAAAATCATCATATGTGTTCTACTGAAGAAACAAAGTCACCTACATCTTGGATGCCCTGGGGGTAAGCAGATAAACCTCAAATTTTCATTTTTGGGTGAACTATCCCTTTAATGAGAAGTCTGTTAACTATTTTATATAACCTATTCCAACATAAAAAAAAGAGCTAGAACATATTATAAATAAAACCCCATTTAATGTGTTGTGTTTTCTTGTGTTGTGCTGTATTTTCAGAGCGGGCATGTGGAGAGGCTGTATTCCCTCAGCAAGAACCAGGTGGAGGCTGAAGTCATCGTACATTCACAGCTGTCAAACACGACGGTTGACCAGGGTCCACAAAGTGACATGGAGCTCTCTCTCGAGTCTCCATCTTCCAAGCACCCTTCTCCTGGAGAGAAGGCAACTCCAACAAACCCGCATCCACCTTATGCCCACAGCGAGGACAACCACGAGACTCAATCTCCATCTCAGACCCCCAGCACTCACATCTCAGAAGTACTGTCCAATCACAATGGACCATTTGAGAGTGGTCACAGCCAGCCGATAATGGGCGGTGCCAAAAACCAAGGAGTGGGGCTTACCAATGGCTTCCACTTGTCCAAACCCCTTCGTTCAAAGGCAGAGACCCTGGAAAACGGGGCCCACAGACTGTGCCCCACAGGAAAGGTTCTGCCCTCACCAGGTCTCTCCGCTTCCCCCTCATCCTTTGCCAGCTCTGGCCTTGTCTACTCTACCTCAGGGGAGCATAACTACATGTACCCCTAAGCTGGAAGGAAGAAAAGCGTAACAAACGATGTTCCCAAAGTTCCGGGACAGAGAAAGACAACAGAGGAGACCAACGAGTGGCACCTTCCTGCTGGAGAAGTTGATATTTTCTCGTAGCCACACACGCCTCTTCTCTCGGCTGTTTTATTGCAACCTTTTGGTTCCATTATTTTATATGTATGTACATATAGAATATTTTTTTAGCACTAGTATCCATGGATATGCATTTTAGGGCATATCAGTGGCACACTTTAACCCCTCTTTGTGTGCATGTATGGAATGTGCTGAAGTACACGTGAAGTCAAGAGTGTTCTTACTTAGAGGTGAAGTTGAAGGATCCTGAAATCAGCCCTACATAAGGAAACGGAACTCATTCACGGGACGAACGTCATGGATCGGTCTGAGATCAGTGCCAACGGGTGGACATCTTGTCAGAGAAAATAACCCTGCCACAAAGTACCACCTCCTGCTGTCTCAGGGTCGCCACACATAAACACACAAACACACACAGATCTGTGCTTAAAACGGTTGTTGCAGAAAATTAGCACCATATTTCAGTTCCGTCTATTCCGGTTTTTAAAGGGTTTGTTCACCCATAAATTAAAATTTTGTCATTTACTCTCCCGCACGTTGCTTCAAACCTGTGCATGGACAAAAATATTTGTTTTCTCCAAAAGAAAGAAAATCATACAGGTGTGGAAGAACTTGAGGGCGAGTAAATGACGGAACTGTCTCTTTAAAGGGGTCCTATTATACTTTTTCACTTTTGTTAGTCTGTAATGTTGCTGTTTGAGCATAAAAAAGATCTGCAAAGTTACAAAGCTCAAAAAGCTCAAAAAAAGGAGATATTTTATTTAACAGAAATCACTTTTCAAAAACTACAACGAACGACTCGTTTGGACTACAACGCATATTTTCCAAAAGGAGATATTTTGTTTAACAGAAATCACTTTTCAAAAACTACAACGAATGACTCGTTTGGACTACAATGCATATTTTCCGACGAATGGGACGAGACCTTGGTTGAGCTGCACTAGAGAAGGCAATGAGTGTTATCACTATGTCGGAGACACGCTATCTTTCCCAAGGCAGACGAACTTAGAGTGGTTACGATCATCCGGGTTTAAATCGTGCTCAAATTGATTTGATATTGACGCAATATTTAAACTGAAACTTGCAGGCGGCTATGGACATTTCCCGACCAGGCGCCGAGTGCTGCCAATCACAACACACACTGGCCCAGCTAACCAATCACAGCACATTTCGTATTTCAGAAGGCGGGCCTTCATTTGATACAGGAACTATTCGAGCCGTTCGTGCCAGACTGGGGAGAGAGGTGTTGTAATAATGTAAAATATGTGAAAAATAATGTGTTTTTCGAACAACCTAGTATGAGAGCCTGTTCTAGTACACCCCCAAAACAAAATCAAGACTTTGTAAAAGAGCATAATAGGACCCCTTTAACTCACACTTTCGCATACATACACGGGCAAACAAACTCGAATACAATACAAATAAATAAAAACACACATTCCCTGACTGGAGCGTAGTGTCTCAGGAGTCTCAAAATCAAGGTGCATTTGTACATACACAACTGCTGTATCAAATACATGTAGAAAAACATGACAAAAATGCAGAAAAAAAATTATGAAGGAAAACAATACAAAAGGAACACTAAGAATCCATGTACATTTTCTATCATTTCAACTCTGAGTGTACTTGTAAAGACACATCACACTGATTCATGCTCCAAGTTTTTCTCAGTCAACAGCACTACCTCGTTTCTTTACAGGATTGTTTTTTTTTTCTGTGTGATTTTATGAGTATAGTTAAGAAGGCAACTTCTTATTGGCGGATTTTGGGCTGTCTGATTCATAGCCTTTGGATAATAGCAGAATCTACTGCCCTTCTCACTCTGTGTCTGTATTTTCTTGTGTAACGGTTACTGAAACTTTCGTCTCTGATTATTAGCCTGTGTGCAAGCATGTGGTCATCTGCTTGTGTAGTCCTTTGCTATGGAAAACAAAACTTGATCATCACAACAGTTCTGCAATATACCCTTCAGATGAAGGGATATAAACACAATGGAAGGCTAACCACACGGTTTAACCCAAGACCTCAAGGTCTGTGTCCATAAGATCTACCTGTTGACATGCCAGTCATCTCTTTTTCTCAGGAACTTCTACGCAGGGAGTCTGAGAAGAACATTTTCAGCCAAACTAGGAAATAGCCTCCATCTCTCAGACAGGTCTTGTCCCATACCATATTCCTTGTCCTTAGGCCACGCGTATGTCACCATTTAGAGTTCATCTGGAACTGTAAATAAATGTTGTCCTCCATGAAAAAACATGTTGTATTGCTACTGAGAGTAGGATCTGTATCTGTTGCGCTTCCTTTTTATGCATTTTAAACGCTTATTTAAAGTAGTTTCTGTTATGTTAACGCTGTTATTTTGGAAGAGAAGCATCAACAAACTCTCAAAATCCTGCCGTCGTACTTGACAGGACTGCCCATGATGCCAACAACAGCTCTCAGTCTAGTCGGTCTCAGTCATTGTCACAGTTCAGCTGATTGTCAATAACTTCACTGAATAGTGCTTTGGTGCTAGAGCAAGACTAGGCTACTTTTAAGATGGTCTTTTAAACATTCCAGTTTTTGTATGTACAGCAGGCCAAACTCAGGGCTGATCGTGTAGGAAATGAAGATGATGAATGTCTGAATTACTCTGGCTGCTTTTTTAACAACATACAGTAAGCAACTCACATGTCGTCATTTGTCACACTTCTAAATGTGCAGTGGCCAGTTCACAGCAACAACAACAACAAGACTCAAGGCTTTTACTGAGATAACACATTTGTTCAATATGCTTCATGTCAGTTCTGTGTTTAATGGATAGTTCACCCAAAAATGAAAATTCTGTCATTATTTACTTATCCTCATATCGTTCCAAAACTGTATGACTTACTACTTCTGCAAAAAAGAAGATATTCTGAAGAATGTTTCTAAAACAACACTGAACCCCATTGACTTTCATTGTATGGACAAAAAACTCAAATATCTTTTGTTTTCTAAATGGTAGCAGACTTTTCATTTTTGGGTAAAGGATCCATTTAAACTGCAAAAATTGGTTGTTTCGTTGCCACAAAAGTCATTTTTGTTCTGTTCTGATATGTTTGTTGTCAAACGTGCAGTCTTAGCTTTGCTCCAGAGTCTTATACATCAGATTACAGCGTTTAGCACATCCCACCTTCAGCATTAGGAATGTGTGGGGCAAATAAACCTCTTGTTATGTCTAAAAATAAGGAAATTGTGGTTTTGCCAGGGTCAGCAGATGTCTTGTCACTCTCAGATATGCATTTTATTGTTCAGAAACAGCCCTTCAGGATAAGTTCTAATTCAGATACCTCATTTGCTGCTTGTTAATTTAATTGCAGTTAAACATGGCACATATGTGTAAAGGATTCAGTAGTTTTGATCATCGTGTTTGGCAGCAGTTTGGATGAGTTGATTGTCTCATTTTACCTCATTCTGAAGCTTCAGGCTGGATTTTGCTTCACTATATTAAGCATGGAACGGTTGTCATTTGTGTGGATAAATTGTTTTGCAGAGAGGAGAATAGCAAAATGCATGAAATGAGAGTTCAGATGATCAGAGGGTTCCCCTGTCAAGCCATACCTCTCAAAACAGACACATGTTGCATATGGGCCATTTTTATACGGTGTGTATAATCAGTGCTTATTGCTCAGGTGCCCTGTCTTTGCATAAAAACTCCGGAGGAATGCAACTGCTTACTCTGATGTAAAGCAAGTGTGCATGAAAACCTCACCAGTCCTCCTGGAAAATGACGGCTTTAATGACAGGGGAAAAGCAACAACAAATAGTAACACTGATGCACAGGCATTCTTGTAAAGAAATCATGTATTCTAACGGCTGTTTTCTCTGGTGCTTCGTGGTAACCTTTCTATTCTGGTGATGTGAGAATTCATCCCCCCAAACCAGCAGACCTGTGCTTTTCTGAGATTCTCAGCACACATACTGTGGACACATTTGTGTAACACCAGCAGCAGTATGGTCTCTGACGTCTGTCGGTTAAATGTGAGAGACACAACATCAGTCTCAGCACACACAAAACTACACTAACCCAGTATGATTACAGCATGTGTCCGTCTGTTATGTTTGTATGCTCTCATGCCTTCTTTGTAAAATCAAATCTAAAAATTCTAAAGGTTTTAAGACAGGTGAAGAGGTTGAAGGAGCTTTCATTGACCATTCAGTTTCTATTTCTGAGATAGGATAATATTGTTTGACCTCCCATATAGAAATGTTATACTGTACAGAGCTATGATCTGTAGGTCTTATTTTCCGCGCTGTGGCATCAGTTTTTCATAGTCAGAATATATATATGAAAGTGTCAATATACTCACTTAGAATGGATCTAATCTTTTTAACTGGAACAAATGTGCCCTATGAATAATTGATGCAGTGAAATTAAATCTGATGACTGATCAAATGTTGGTACTCAATTTGATCATATACGTGAGCTGTGAAGGGTATAGTTTGATGAAGGATGGATGCAGTGGAGGACAATATGATATTATAATGTTTATGTTCTTCCTCTGTCTCTGTCTCTGTGAGATTTGCAGCAGCAAAGTCTCTGCAAACTTGTACTATGTAAATAAACATCTTAATAATAATAAAAAAAGAATTTGTCTCATTCTTTTATATACCACTGCTTTAAAGACATACTGCATGTTTTTCAGTTATGAATTATGCATCTTCACAAGGATAGACCCTATGAAATAGTATTTATTTTTTAAAATCACCAAAGTCACTTTTACAAGAAAATTTATCTAAATGTCAGTAAAGGTAATAGGTTGTTGAGATTTGTAATTAATAAAGTTTACTATCACACAGTTTTGTACATTTTTTTGGATGAGGCTTGGTGAGTCTTTTTCCCCTGATATTATTTGTTTAATGAGTATAATGACTAATAATATTAAGAATAATATTACATAATATTTGGTGTCAATGAAGGGGTGCTTGAGCCTTACTGATGGGGCTGAGGGGCTATATTTGAAAAGATTGGGCAATCCTTGTTTACATCAAGCAACATTGTTCATTGTATGCTGAACAGTCAATAGATGGCACTCTTTCATTACTGTTGCCCTATGCCTGAAATTTCAAGTTTTAAATACAACTAAATATTATATCCAACAAATAGTTTCTAAATTATATTTTTAAACATCAGGAAGGATAATTATTTCCTTAATCTTTCTTTAAAAGTAAATTATTTAGTAAACGTTTATGTATTTTTTTTTTCAAAAATTTACAAAAGTGTAATTAAACATTCCACTAACTTCAGTTATTATTATTATTATTGTTATCATCATCATCATTTTAGAATTAACTGTAGGCTACTTCACTCCATCACTATTTCCTTTTTCTACATTTATTAGTTCGTGCCTGATCAGTCTTTGTTCAGCTGTGGCCTTTATATTATAAAATATAGGTATTTATATAAGATAATATGCCCTGCACACATACAGGCTACCTTCTTCTTGCTCTGTGTTTGGAGACCGTGTCTTTTGTTCTATTAAGGAGAGAGAGAGAGAGAGAGAGAGAGAGAGAGAGAGAGAAGTGGGGTGTGTGAGCTCAGAAAGGTGA